ACACACTCGGCTATCGCCTCGTTTGCCACTTGTTTGTTCTTACCACATTTTGACGTCTTCTGTGATCTATTACTGAACAGACGCACGGCAGCATGCAATCTATTTGTTTTATATAATAAAGAAACAACAGGAAAAGCTTTTTTTTTTATTTAAAAATTTTTTAACATAACTCGAAAGCCGGCCTTTGCCCACCTTGGCGAATAGGAAAAAAAGCAATTTGACGTAATCTATTGTCTATACAAAATGAAGCAATCTCATTGGTTGCTATGCGTGGCAAAGAATTGTGATTGGTCCAGGAAAATCACGCCACTGTCAAACTTGAGTTCAAGATTGAAAACTTACAGCGAAAGCAGAATTGAACTGTGAAATATTCAAGTCTTAAAGAAAATGCTGAAATGTCAAGTCAGTTTTTGTCATCAGAGCAGCCCTGTGAGCAGGAAAACTTGGATTTTGTCTTGAATATTGCAGGAGTTGATAAAATATGATTGGAAAACTTGCGGTTACGGTCAACACTGGAGACCATTCGATTCGAGTTTTGGATGAAAGGAGCCTTAGTGACGGTGGAAATTTATGTCCGCTGTGGTTGGTAATTGTCAAATGTGTTTGATATATTGTCGGAGACACCTTACAGCTGCGATACAGTTGGCCGTGAGCTGTAGTGAGCTCTACTTTGCTCGCTTCTGTGCCCTGAAACGGACTGGAACAATCGCGTTAGAAAACAAGGTTAAACTTAAGCTTATGTGTATATTTAAACTGATGACGTTTGATGCTTAATTCCTGCAATCAAACTGTGTCAACAATCATTTTGAGACTGAGAAAAGTTGAATTTTTTAAAATAAATTAATGAGATTAAAATTTTGCTTATTGGTTTTGTTTAATTCGAGACAAAGCAATGGCTTCTTACCTAAACTAATTTCCAGACCAATTTTGTGTTTTGTTTAGTCTCGCTCGACTGCCGACTGCGACTGCTCGAGTATTTTTTCTGAGTCATTTTCTGGAAAACAAACGGCTTTTTCTTTCTTCTTCTAGCCTCTCGTACCTGTTGAATGCCTCGGCAAGACGTTTTTGTACCTTATCTTTCCCCAGCCACGTAAAATAGTGTCTAAATTTTCAAANATTGTGATTGGTCCAGGAAAATCACGCCACTGTCAAACTTGAGTTCAAGATTGAAAACTTACAGCGAAAGCAGAATTGAACTGTGAAATATTCAAGTCTTAAAGAAAATGCTGAAATGTCCAGTCAGTTTTTGTCATCAGAGCAGCCCTGTGAGCAGAAAAGTTTGGATGTTGTCTTGAATATTGCAGGAGTTGATAAAATACGATTGGAAAACTTGCGGTTACGGTCAACACTAGAGGCCATTCGATTCGAGTTTTGGGTGAAACGAGCGTTAGTGATGGTGGAAATTTATGTCCTCTGTGGTTAGTAATTGTCAAATGTGTTTGATATATTGTCGGAGACACCTTACAGCTGTGATACAGTTGGCCGTGAGCTGTAGTGAGCTCTACTTTACTCGCTTCTGTGCCCTGAAACGGACTGGAATAATCGCGTCGGAAAACAAGGTTAAACTTAAGCTTATGTGTATATTTAAACTGATGACGGTTGATGCTTAATTCCTGTAATCAAACTGTGTCAACAATCATTTTGAGGCTGAGAAAAGTTGAATTTTTTTAAAATAAATTAATGAGGTTTTGTTTAATTCGAGACAAAGCAATGGCTTCTTACCTAAACTAATTTCCAGACCAATTTTGTGTTTT